TGGGTAACTTCCAGTGTGGCGCTAAGAGTCGACCAATTTGAAGGTCTCTCAGCCTAGGAACATCAATGTTTTGTCCTATGTCTTGGTGAAATAAAACATTTTAGTCCTAAGCCTTGAGGGCAAATGTGATAAACTCTCTGACTTTTAAGAGTGTCTTTGGCACTGAAATAATATTTGGATAAGAAATATTTGAATATGCAGTTGTCTGGTTTTGTATGTCCCTTAGCATATCAAAGCTTCATCTCTGAGGACAAGAGACTTGCTCAGGGAATTAATAATGGGACTTGGGGCATCTGATCTGCAGGTGACAAGTTTAGTTCAACTCATGATGATAGGGAACTTAGAACGGTCACACATGCCATTCCAGGGACCAGGTAGAAAGAGGTGGCAGTTGCTTTTTCGTTTGCCAGTGCCCCTCAGTTACAGAAGTAATGGGCTATTCACTTAGTGTTGATCATAATTTTGTTTTTTTAAAAGAACATAAGAAAACCCGAACTTTGATGATTTCTTATTTTTATCATGGATTTACTGTAGGGTTCCATTAAATGACAAACTCTTCTGGGACCCCCAAATTATGGCATGATGAACCAAATTTTATTTCCAAGCAATTGTTCTTGAGTGTAACTATTGCTTAGAGTGAAGGACATTTGTCCTGGTGCTATACTAGCAAGGCTAGGGGTTGAGGCCGATGGATACTGGCTCACTGTGGTGGTGAACTCAACTTGCCTTGAGGACAGATCACTTCATCAAAAAAGATGCTAGCGAGTGGGCCAGAGAGGCCTGGGCCAGATGTTTTATGAGAGAAGCTTGTTTGACAGTTGCTTTTGTGTTCGAAGGAGTTTATAATTTTGGATTTAGAATCCAGCATCAACCTAAAAAGTTCAGTAATGAAGTCATTTGTCTCTGTCTGATGGAGTCATAACTATTTGTGCAAATATGTGGCCAGGGACTTTTGTGTTCTCTCCAATTAGTTAATACTGTACTTGGTAACCAGGAGGGGCAGTTTTGCTAACCAACCTCTACTCATGGTCACTGTATGTATATGGCAAAGCCTGAGTGTGATGTCCTGCATAACTGGGTTGTGGACTCCATGGAGACATTTTAAAACATGTTAATGAATGAATTACACAACCAGCAACTGTCTGCACATGTATGTTCACTTACCATCATAAGATTTATGCTATGAACCTCTTCACTGTAACGTCAGTAGCAATGTTAACCTCAGTGATGGACATACAGCAGACCTGCATCTTTTGTTATCTTTTCAGTTTTCCAGTCTTAGCCCTCTTCCGTCCCAATTAACTGTAAAACATTTCACACTTTACATTTTTTTATACTGTAAAACTTGGAAAATAAACTGAAATCCCAAATCATATATTGTATCTTCTCTGCATATGATTATTCCAATCTAGAAAGTTATTTACTTTTTAGGGAACATTTTCACTCTTGCATAATTTTGAAACCCTCTTCAAGGTAACCTGTCAAGTGTCTATGAAAACCAAGACAATTGTTTACGATAGTTGAATGGAAAGTGTAATTGCCATTGTAACAAAAACTACTTGGTCGCCAATCATTTCGTGGTCAAGAAACATGTTTTAAATGAATAGATGATGTCTTAGTCATCTAGTGCTGCTATAACAAGTGGATGGTTTTAACGAAGAAGTTTATTTCCTCACAGTCAAAGTAGGCTAGAAGTCCAAATTCAGGGCGTCAGCTCCAAGGGAAGGCTTTTTCCTCTCCTTCGGTTTTCTTTTCTTCAGTGTTCCCCCAGACTAGGAGCTTCTCTGCACAGAGACCCTGGTCCAAAGGACGCAGTCTGCTCCCAGCACTGCTTTCTTGATGGTATGAGGTCCCCCTGTTTCACTGCTCACTTCTGTCTTTTATATCTCAAGAGATTGCCTCAGGACACAATCCAGTCTT